TTTTTGACCTCTCAGACGGAAAGGCGTTGGGGTATTAATTCAAAATAAATACCCACCGGGGGGGGGTTTCCCCCCCCCCCGGGGCGGGGGGGAGGAACCCACCCACGACACTGACTCGGCTCACCCCAAAGCGGCTGTGGAAGAGGGCTGAACCCGTCATACCTCTGGACACCGCTGCGGGTGCCGCATCAGCCCCGCGGCGGTAGGCACAGCAAGCGGAACAGCAGCGGAAGCGACCACCGGAGCGACAACCGGCCTAATACCACAACAAGGAGTAAGGGGCGCTGGTGCGTTGCAAGCAGAGTTTGCAACGCCTGAGCAAACTGATCCAACAGGTGATTGCCTTGTTGATCGAGTCTATGGCGACTAACATTGGGAGGGAGCGAAGGCGTGCCTGCACCGTCAGGGTTCATGGCACTTGTGTAATGTCAGGGCAGGAGCTGAGGAACGGACAGGCAGGCCTAACAATGTAACGCAGCTGGCTGACGACAACCACCACCCAGCAGACCGAAGTCCCTCAGGGCGCGGAGTCCTAAGTCCCAGGCTGCCCTTCACCAGGGCCCCTGATGGTGGGGATGGACTTGACGCAGCCAGGAACCAGGTTCGCGGCCCCCGAACACACCTCAGCTGCGTTAATGGCCCCCGCCGCCAATGGCGTGTAGCTTGGTGGAAGAGACAAAAGAGTAGTCAGACAAGCCGGGGTCAACAACAACAGGACAGAACAGTACAGGACAGCAGACGAGAATCACAGGTCACGAGCCGGGTTCAGCAACAGAGGGTCAGATCAAAGGGAGAATACAAAGAATAGTCAAGACAAGCCGAATCAGATACCAGGAGAGTCACGAGAGTCAGAACAGAGTAACAGCAACACAAAGACACAAGAACACAAGTGCAAAGAGCATGTGCGGGCCACAGGCTTATATGTCATCAGCCACACCCCTCTGGAGGATGGACCACAGAAACCTGAAGGCATAAAAGGGCTCCCATCATGCACAGCAGAATCCAAGATGGACAACCAGCACATGAAGTAACATAACCACAGGGGAAAAGGTAGGACCTTGACAGTCCTGCCCTTGTCTAACCTTTTGTTGGGGATTGGCTAGGAACCCCTCAAGAGTGCAGCCAGATAACTCCTCAAATCCACCCACTGCCTCTAGAGCCTTCCTCCAAAAGCCCTCAAGAGCAGGGGGAAATTCCACATGGGCTGGCTTGCAGAGCCTCTCAGTCCCTGAACACAATTGGTACCTCTCTCTGGTCTATTACTTCTGGGCTGCTACTCAGCTTGTCCTAACCATTGGTTTTAGCTCCCCTTAGTTTTAAACTAGGGAGGGTGCTACATTTAGGCTGCCACAATCCCATGACGGGAGCATTATACACTTATACACTCGTTTTATTAGCAGTCATTAAGGATTTCGGTTGTTCCTTGTAGTCTTTAGATCCTTCTAACGTTAATACTTTTTGAATGAATATGAGAATACAAAACAGAAAATCTAGTAAATTATACATCTTGTAGGAGTCGGCCCAGCTGGGGTGCACTTGAAGTACCATTAATTGCTTTGTGGATCTCCAGTGGTTCCCACATTCCCGGTTTTTCTTCCTGCCTCTGTCACAGAGAAGGGGGATACGCCGGCCGGTGCGGTGCGTCAATGTAAATAGCACACCATGGTGTTGCTCTGCGGTTCAAGCCTCTATCAAAGAGGATGCAGAAAGAGGAGGCTGCAAATTACATGGTAACAAGGAGAAGCTGAGCGGCGGGTGGGGGACATCATGGGTCAGACCCTTGTATGCTCACATTGTTAAACATGAGCCGGGACAAACAAAACATCACGGAGGGAAGAGAGGCTAATTGCATCTAATGTTACCGACAACATCACTCAGACAACGCTGGATAGTCCAGCCTGAGAAAGCGACATCTGCTCCCGGACCTCAGTGTGTGTCTACTCATGTCAGCGCAGGGCCTTTTTTCAGGAGGAACGCGGGGGGAACACAGTTCTGGCACCTCCAGCAATGACTGTATATAATGGCAAGGAGTGCTCGGGTGTGCTGGAGGGTCTATTGATGTTGGCTTCTGAGGGATCTATTGTTGCTGGTGGGAATCTATTTTTGCTGGGCAGGTCTATTGTTTCTGGTGGGCGGTCAATTGTTGCTGGGAGGGATCTACTGTTGAGTGAGAAATCTATTGTTGCTGGCTGCTGGAGGGTCTACCGATGCTGGCTGCTGGGAGATCTGTTGTTGCTGCTGGGGGTCTATTGTTGCTGGGCTGGTATTTTGTTGCAGGGGTATTGTTGATAAGGGGAAGTCTATTGTTGAGTGGGGGATTTATTGTTGATGCAGTAGTCTATTCGTTTCTGGGGGGGGGGGGGTCTACTGTTTCTGGGATAGGATCTATTGTTGCTTTGGGGAAGTCTATTGTTGTGTGGGGGATTTATTGTTGCTGAGGTAGTCAATTGTTTTGGGGGGGGGATCTACTGTTGCTGGGGTGGGGTCTCTTGTTGCTCAATGCAGGGGTTCTATTTTACTGTCTCTCTTGTTATCATTAACACATTCTGGTGGCTAGGAGTGTGGAACCAAGGGATGGTGCTCAGAGGTGGGTAGGCGGTGGAACCAAGGGATGGTGCTCACAGGTGGGTAGGCGGTGGAACCAAGGGATGGTGCTCAGAGGTGGGTAGGGGGCGGAGACAAGCGGTGACTCAGAAGGCGGGAGTTCCTGCACCTATTCTCTGAGAAAAAAAGCCCCGTGTCTTTGCATTAAGACTGCTGACTTATTTAAAATGAGATAAATCGCGGTGAGGCCCATCATGTTAGGGATCCATATGATTGGCAGATGTTTGAAGGCTATGTCCGCCTCTGTAAGAAAAGTTGAAATTAAAGCATCACACCACTGCAATGACATCCAGATTTATACTAATAAAAGTCAGGGGGGCAATCCAAAAAGTATCCAACAAATTTCTGGAGTCCAAGAACACCCCCTTCAACAGCCCATAAACCGACATATCTCAGGTTATACAGAATAACATTATTATTATACAGGATTTATAGAGCGCCAACAGTTTGCTCAGCACTTTACGTAATACACTATATTGCCCCAAGTATTGGACCCCCGGCCTTTCCACACACATGACCTTTAATGGCCCCCCCAGTCTTAGTCCGTAGGGTTCAATATTGAGTTGGCGCCCCGCCCTTTCCACGCACATGACCTTTAATGGCCCCCCAGTCTTAGTCTGTAGGGTTCAATATTGAGTTGGCCCCGCCCTGTGCAGCTATAACAGCTTCAACTCTTCTGGGAAGGCCGTCCACAAGGTTTAGGAGGGTGTCTATGGGAAGGTTGGACCATTCTTCCAGAAGCACATTTGTCAGGTCAGGCACTGATGTCAGGGGAGGAGGCCTGGCTTGCAGTCTCCGCTCTAATTCATCCCAAAGGTGTTCTATGGGGTTGAGGTCAGGACTCTGTGCAGGACAGTCAAGTTCCTCCACCCCAAACTGGCCCCTCCATGTCTTTATGGACCTTGCTTTGTGCACTGGTGCGCAGCCATGTTGGAACAAGAAGGGGTCATCCCCAAACTCTTCCCACAAAGTCGGGAGAGCATGAAATTGTCAAAAATGTTGCCTTAAGAGTTCCCTTCACTGGAACTAGGGGGGCCAAGCCCACCCCCTGGATTGGAAAACACCCCCACACCATAATCCCCCCTCCACCAAACTGTACACTTGGCACAATGCAGTCAGGCAAGTACCATTCTCCTGGCCACCGCCAAACCCAGGAACGTCCTTCGGATTGCCAGACAGAGAAGCGTGATTGGTCACTCCAGAGAATACATCTCCACTGCTCTAGAGTCCAGTGGCAGCGTGCTTTACACCACGGCATCCGACGCTTTGCATTGCACTTGGTGATGGAAGGCTTGGATGCAGCTGCTCGGCCATGGAAACCCATTCCATGAAGCTCTCTATGCACAGTTGTTGGGCTCATCTGAAGGCCACACCAAGTTTGGAGGTCTTTAGCTATTGACTCTGCAGACAGTTGGTGACTTCTGCGCACTGTGTGCTTCAGCATGCGCTGACCCCGCTCTGTCATGTGATGTGGCCTACCACTTGGTGGCTGAGTGGCTGTTGTTCCCAGTGGCTTCCACTTTGTAATCCCACTAACAGTAGAGCGTGGAATATTTAGTAGCCATGAAATGTCCCGGATGGACTTATTGCCCAGGTGGCCACCTATCACGGGACCACGCTTGGAGTCACTGAGCTCCTGAGAGCGACCCATTCTTTCACCAATGTTTGTAGAAGCAGTCTGCATGCCTAGGGGCTTGATTGTATACACCTGTGTCCATGGAGGGGATTGGAACACCTGAATCACATGATATGGAGGGGATTGGAACCACCTGAATCACATGATATGGAGGGGATTGGAACACCTAAATCACATGATATGGAGGGGATTGGAGCACCTGAATCACATGATTGGGAGGGGATTGGAACACCTGAATCACATGATATGGAGGGGATTGAACACCTGAATCACATGATATGGAGGGGATTGGAACACCTGAATCACATGATTGGGAGGGGATTGGAGCACCGGAATCACATGATATGGAGGGGATTGGAACACCTGAATCACATGATATGGAGGGGATAGGAACACCTGAATCACATGATATGGAGGGGATTGGAACACCTGAATCACATGATATGGAGGGGATTGTAACACCTGAATCACATGATATGTAGGGGATTGGAACACCTGAATCACATGATTGGGAGGGATTGGAGCACCGGAATCACATGATTGGGAGGGGATTGGAGCACCGGAATCACATGATATGGAGGGGATTGGAACACCTGAATCACATGATATGGAGGGGATTGGAACACCTGAATCACATGGAACACCTGAATCACATGATATGGAGGGGATTGGAACACCTGAATCACATGATTTGGAGGGGATTGGAACACCTGAAATCACATGATATGGAGGGGATTGGAACACCTGAATCACATGATTGGGAGGGGATTGGAACACCTGAATCACATGATTGGGAGGGGATTGGAGCACCCGGAATCACATGATATGGAGGGGATTGGAACACCTGAATCACATGATAGGGAGGGGGATCGGATCACCGGAATCACATGATTGGGAGGGGATTGGAAACACCTGAATCACATGATATGGAGGGGATTGGAACACCTGAATCACATGATAGGGAGGGGATCGGATCACCGGAATCACATGATTGGGAGGGGATTGGAACACCTGAATCACATGATTTGGAAGACAGGCCCAATACTTTTGGCAATATAGTGTATATGCATTTTTCTCCAATATCATCCTTTCCTGCTAGTACCAACCTCTGGTCTTGAACCTTTTATTTTATCTGCGATCAAAATCACTTTGGCTTAATAAATGGTAATATATTGATACGTATTGAGAACTAATTGTATCAGCCTGGATGGTTTAATTAGAAAAGCGGAACCTTAGAGAACAGATAATAATACGTTACTGAGCAGATGATACTGGAGGGTCCTCCTATACATTCCTCACATCCTGATCTTCAGGTTGCTGATTTGGTGACTTCAGCATGTAGGGATTGATCTGGGGGAAGGATGTCTCCAGTGATGACTTGATACATTACGTGAGGGCCATGCCCTTTGTGATCTCTGCTATGTTCCATTCATCCACCTTGAGGTATGATTCAATGAGGCCCACCGTTATAAATTGTATTTATGACTTTAATCTTTCATGCTCTGCTCTTGAGGTCGGGTCAACATCTGTGCTCCTGTCGGTTTCTAGAGGAGATGTACTATATTGTTAACTCTTCATTTGTCACGGGAATGTCCACCGCTGCATCTACACATGAAATACCCGGCTGATGTATGTGAACAAAAATGAGCAATTGCAGGTCCAAGCAGTAATGATGAACAGATCAGAAGAACTGCAGACTCACCATATTCTGCTGAACATTTGCATACAGATCTGTCTAATCTGTGGGGAATTACACGATACAGCCAATCATTCATGTAGCTCTACCCCTGAAGGAGCCGCTGATTTCTGGGGTTCCCTGTTCGCAGATCCCACAAGAGCCCACAAGCAGCACAGCGCTCACCACCACTGTCGGGGACAGGAGATATTTACTAAAGAATATATATACAGTATATAATACTACAATAACCAAATAGAAACGGCAATAATCCCTAAAATACATAAAAATTAAATAGTAGCAAAATAGAGTATAATAAGCAAACGGACAAGAAAGTGACCCCTAAACCCTATACTTAGCAGGGTCCTGTCTACGGGCAATGCTAAAATAATAGTTGGTGTCAGGCTCGGCCCAACGGGATCTCTAGTGGTCCACAGAACGGGGTTCCCCAGGACGCGGAGTCTAAGTCCCAGTCTGCCTCTTCACCAGAGCCCCTGATGGTGGGGATGGACTTGATGCCCGACTGGAACCAGGTCGCGACCCCTGGGTGCACCCAACTATGGTAGAGGGTCCCGCTGAGGGTACGTGCCCGGGATGAGCCTGCTGTAAAGGGGATGACAGGTCCGAGTGGGATGGATGGATGACTGCCGGAGTGAGCGTGGTCAGACTAGCCGGGTCGGTAACAGTAGGGGCAGATGCGGTACTAAGCAGCAGACAAAAGAGTAGTCAGGTCACACGCCGGGTTCAGTAACAGAGGGTCCAATAGTAGTTAACGAGGCAAGGAATAGTCAGGGGACAAGCCGGGATCAGAGCAGGAGAGGGTCAGCATAAATCAGAACAGGCAGAGTTTGGCAACAAGGAAACGTACTAGCAGGAACACAGAAACAGGAACAAGACCTTGCGGCAATTTGGAAATGCACAGGGCAGATTTAAATAGGGCGCCCTGTGTTTCCATTGGTGCAGCCGCGATTGCTAGTGCGCATGCGCGGCCGCTGCCGCGATCTCTGTGTTCGCCGGCCAGGAAGAATCGGCGATCTGCGCATGCGCGCGACGCTGAGCGGCCGGGATCCCTGACAGTTGGGCAGTCTTTATCAAACCGTTTCTCTAATGGCCGGTATGTTGGGGCCCAAATCTAGTGTTGGAGCGCTCAGATAAAGTTCCTAACCTGGGTATAGGTGCTTGCATTGTGTCCCAAGAAAACAATATTATTATACAGGATTTATGGCGCCAACAGTTTGCTCAGCGCTTTACATTATAGTCGGAGACAATACAGCAACAATACAGTTCAATACAAGAGGGATAGGAGGGCCCTGATCCTGGGAGCTTACAATCTAAGAGGGAGGGGTGAGTAGTACAGTAGGTAGTAACTGTGGGGGATGGACTGGTAGGAAGAGTGGAGGATTCCAGAATTAGTAGAGGGCAGGATAGACTTCCCTGAAGAGAAAGGTTTTCAGTGATCGCCTAAAGGCAAGTAGAGTAGGTGATAGTCTGATAGGTTGGAGTAGGGAGTTCCAGAGGATGGGTGACGCCCCAGAGAAGTCTTGGAGATGAGCATGGAAGGAGGAGATTAGGGAGCTAGAGAGTAAGAGGTCTTGCAATACTGTTCCTCTTTGATGGGGTGCAGCAGGGTTTGTCAAGGGCCTCTCACAAACTCCACTGGTCTCTCTTTGGTGGGTCAACTAAGTCAGTGGCAGCGGAGTTCTCCCCAATAACCAGTTGGCAGCACTAGTCAGCGATAGTAGTGTTCTCCGATCAGGCAGTGGCACCAGTTGGTGACAGTGGGGTACTCATGTACCAGGAGATGTCCTCTATACAACCCTTTGGCATCCCTGATGTGGTGGCAGATCAGTCTGTTAGCTGCCTGCTACAAGGTTGGTACCCCACAATGTCCTCACCACATCTGCCTCAAGCCCAAGAACACACCTTCCCTTTCCTCTCCACAGATGTCCTGGTCATGCTGTGTAGTTCCACTGCCAGTCAGATACACAGGCTCAGATGTTTTTGGGGACTACATCTCCCACAAGTCTCAGTTCTTCCCAGCAGGCTCTTGTTGTCCCAGGATGCACAGCAGTCCGTATTCCCTACCTCTGTGTCACAGGTAAGGAGCAATGCTTCCAAACCGGGACAATATGTGACACCTGAAAACCTGGCTACATTCATGAATTGTACGTCTCCTCATAGAATGGACAAATCTACCTGAATATAATGAGGAGAAAAAACATTGCAAAGGTCAGATGTGCTGATCAGCCCGAATCCAAACCAATAACCTCACATCTGCCTATCAGTCATTGACTTTTCAGAACCCGAAAAATACAAATCATATAAATATTTAACTTCTTTTAGTCAGTTAATCACTTCCAGTCCAGACACTCCCCCCCCCCCCTTCCAGTCCGGACACTTTCCCCCCCCCCCTTCCAGTCCGGACACTTTCCCCCCTTCCAGTCCGGACACTTTCCCCCCTTCCTCTCGGACACTCCCCCCCCCTTCCAGTCCGGACACTTTCCCCCCTTCCATTCCGGACACTTTCCCCCCCTTCCAGTCCGGACACTTTTCCCCCCTTCCAGTCTGGACACTTTCCCCCCCTTCCAGTCCGGACACTTTCCCCCCCCCTTCCAGTCCGGACACTTCCCCCCCTTCCAGTCCGGACACGTTCACCCCCCTCCAGTCTGGACACTTTCCCCCCCTTCCAGTCGGACACTTTCCCCCCTTCCACTCTGGACACTTTCCCCCCCTTCCAGTCCGGACACTTTCCCCCCCCTTCCAGTCCGGACACCCCCCCCCCTTCCACTCCAGACACTTTCGCCCCCTTCCACTCCAGACACTTCCCCCCCCTTCCACTCCGGACACTTTCCCCCCCTTCCAGTCCGGACACTTTTCCCCCACCTTCCAGTCTGGACACTTTCACCCCCCCTTCCAGTCCGGACACTTTCACCCTCTTCCAGTCCGGACACTTTCCCCCCCTTCCAGTCCGGACACTTTCACCCCCTTCCAGTCCGGACACTTTCACCCCCTTCCAGTCCGGACACTTTCACCCTCTTCCAGTCCGGACACTTTCCCCCCCCTTCCAGTCCAGACAATTTCACCCCCTTCCAGTCTGGACACTTTCACCCCCTTCCAGTCCGGACACTTTCTCCCCCCTTCCACTCCAGACACTTCCCCCTCTTCCAGTCTGGACACTTTCGCCCCCTTCCACTCCAGAACACTTTCCTTCCCCCCCCTTCCACTCCGGACACTTCCCCCCCTTCCAGTCCGGACACTTTCCCCCCTTCCAGTCTGGACACTTTCACCCCCCTTCCAGTCCGGACACTTTCACATTCCCCCCTTCCAGTCCGGACACTTTCACCCCCCTTCCAGTCTGGACACTTTCACCCCCCCTTCCAGTCTGGACACTTTCACCCCCCTTCCAGTCCGGACACTTTCACCCCCCTTCCAGTCCGGACACTTTCACCCCCCTTTCCAGTCGGACACTTTCACCCCCCTTCCAGCCCGGACACTTCCCCCCCCCCCCCCCCCCTCCAGTCCGGACACTTTCACCTCCTTCCAGTCCGGACACTTTCCCCCCCTTCCAGTCCGGACACTTTCCCCCCCCCTTCCAGTCCGCACACTTTCCCCCCCCCCTTCCAGTCGGGACACTTTCACCTCCTTCCAGTCCGGACACTTTCCCCCCCCCCTTCCAGTCCGGACACTTTCCCCCCCTTCCAGTCCGCACACTTTCACCCCCCCTTCCAGTCCGGACACTTTCCCCCCCCCTTCCAGTCCGGACACTTCCCCCCCTTCCAGTCCCGCACACTTTTCACCCCCCTTCCAGTCCGCACACTTTCACCCCCTTCCAGTCCGGACACTTTCCCCCCCCTTCCACTCCAGACACTTCCCCCTCTTCCAGTCTGGACACTTTCGCCCCCTTTCCACTCCAGACACTTTCCCCCCCCTTCCACTCGGACACTTCCCCCCCCCTTCCAGTCCGGACACTTTCCCCCCCTTCCAGTCTGGACACTTTCACCCCCCTTCCAGTCTGGACACTTTCACCCCCCTTCCCAGTCCGGACACTTTCACCCCCCTTCCAGTCCGGACACTTTCACCCCCCTTCCAGTCGGGACACTTTCACCCCTCTTCCAGCCCGGACACTTTCCCCCCCCCCCCTCCAGTCCGGACACTTTCACCTGCCTTCCAGTCCGGACACTTTCCCCCCCCTTCCAGTCCGGACACTTTCCCCCCCCTTCCAGTCCGCACACTTTCCCCCCCTTCCAGTCGGGACACTTTCACCCCCCCTTTCAGTCTGGACCCTTCCCCCCCCTTCCAGTCGGACACTTTCACCTCCTTCCAGTCCGGACACTTTCCCCCCCCCCTTCCAGTCCGGACACTTTCCCCCCCCTTCCAGTCCGCACACTTTCACCCCCCTTCCAGTCGGGACACTTTCACCCCCTTTCAGTCTGGACCCTTTCCCCCCCTTCCAGTCCGGACACTTTCCCCCTTTCAGTCTGGACCCTTCCCCCCCCTTCCAGTCCGGACTCTTTCCCCCCTTCCAGTCCGGACACTTTCCCCCCCTTCCAGTCCGGATACTTTCCCCCCCCTTCCGGACACCTCTCCAGGCCAACTTTCAGCTTTCAGCGCTATCACACTTTGAATGACAATTGCACGGTTCATGCAACACTGAATCCATATGAATTTTTAGCATTTCCCCCCCTTTGGAGACAGATAAAACTTTATTTTGGTGATATTTATGCTCCTCTTGGAAGTTTATTTATTTTTTTTTGCTATACAAATGAAAAAGTCCAAAAATTTTGAAAAAAAGTGTTTTTCTTATAAAATTTGCAAATAAATAATATTTCATCATGAATCTCGGACAAAATTTATTAATTTATCTTTTTAGTACAAAACAAAATAAAACAAATTCGTTTATAACCAAAAATAATAATTTTTACAAATTTTTTAAAATTTTTTATTTTAATTTTTTATATTATAATTTATGCTTTTTTTTTTTTTTACATCCTGTCACCCTAGCAGTACAGTGTCACCATGGTAACACTGAACTACTTGTGGAGGGTGATGAAGATATATATATATATATTTTTTTACACTGATTGCTTTTACACCCATAAAGGCTCATTTCTCCTTCTCTCTGGCTGTATTCTTGCAGCCATTGAGAAATACTGTGTGAGCTGTGATTGGTCACAGCTTGTCCCACGGTACAAGGCTGTTTTGAATAGCCCTGTACCATGTGATCTCTGCGATCATTCACAGATTTCACACGTAGTAAGCAATGATGTCAGAAGTGACATCTTGCTTACACCTATTCATGTGATCACTGATTGGCCAATCAGTGATCACATGATCGAGATCTCACACAGAGGTCCCATACGACGATCGGTGCTCCTCTGTGTCCAGAGTACACAGTGGGCACTGAATCGTGGTGCTGCGTTCTCCTAGGGAGCGCACACCAGCAGGGGGTGGGGAGGCCATTTATAAACAACCACCCTCCCCTGCACTGCTCCCGTCTAGCCGTTTATATACAATGGCCGGACAGAAGGTGGTTAAATATAAAATATATAAATCCTTCATAATTATACATCACACGCAGTTTTCTCCGTGAAACCGGGCAAATCGCTGGATCTCCACAATGTTGTTAAAACGGCAACCTTTGAGTTGGATCTTCACCTTCTGGAGGAGGGCATTTTCGGGGTTGGGCTCGTGGAAGGTCTTCCTGGTGGACTCCTTGACTGTAACTGTGGGATTGCACCGTACATGACTGATGGGTCTGTGACCCGCTTTTAATGTGTGAGGAGCCTTTTGGCATTGTGGATTTCATTAATAAATGCAAAAATACTCCACTATGGAAGTTCTCTCTGACTTCTTTCATATGAGATTCCCATAACCCCTCCCTGGCGGTATTCCTGAGGGTAGCTCGGGGTAAAGTTTCAGCACCACAAGCGGTGACCCCCCCCCCCCCCCCAGCTACACTCGGGAATACACTGCAGCGTTGCTCCGGGATCTCTTCTGCACTTACCTTGTCCTGCGCTCCCGCGATGTCCCTCCTGCAGTGTCCCCGGCAATGTCCTCCGGCGGATGCCGGCATCCGTCTTCTGGGTTCTGCTCCCTGCGACGTCGGGACGTACGGGGGACGGAACTGGCGGGAAATTTGAAAATGTTAAAAGTGACATTCACTCATGTGCCAGTAATCCGTCCAAGGAATGTGTCTGTGGACTAAAGTACTCCCCCAGGGGATGACAAGGATACTTCCATAGTGTAGTAATTTGTAAAAAGCTTTATTGTGATGCATCAAGGTAAAAACACATAATGAATAGTTGCAGACAGTGATCTGTAGAACTGACCGTCTGGTGTAGTAAGATGGCCACCAGAGCTCCACGTTGCTCCGGTGGCGTGACGTCACGGCGTAGTGTGGCTCCTCCTGACGCGTATCGTGCTCAAGCACGTCCTCAGAGAGCGTCCACAGACACATTCCTTGGACGGATTACTGCCACATAGTGCAATCCAGCTCACCCAGAGGGATACCACCTACCAGGAGCACATAGGGGGACCCCTAGTGAAAGAGGACCACCTACACCAGCCTCATACCAAACGGAGGGAGGACCACCCACTATCAGATGACATCTGGATTTTTTTATACACAAAAGCGCATTTAAATTGCGCGTCCGGTGAGTGCGCATTGCCTTATCACTACTACACGGATACCGGACTTCTATTTCACCTGAGCACTTTAATATTTATATTGATTTCCTGGACCATTTCTTCGTTTTTGAACTTTTATATATTTATACATCTAGATTTACTAAGGATCAATCTTCATTCTATCTCTTAATTTTTATATTTGATATTATTTTCTTGGTTTATATTTAGCGCTGCACTTCATATATACATGATAGTAAATCAGAACCACTTGCAGAATTGAGTGATAATGATTGGTGGGGGAAATTCCTCATCAGACACTGAAAACGATTCTGCGACTGAGCTCAGCGATGGGCCAACTTGGCGCTCTATTTCACATTTCAGTGTTTTTTGGTGATTATATTATTGAATTACATTTATTATTATTATATTATTATTTTTTATGATTATTTATTATATTTATAATTTATGATTTCGTGTTTCAAGTTTTATCCTGTTTACTAGACTCTTGTTCGGACAGATTTCAGGGAGTTATTCCTAAAATTACAGCCTACAATAAAAAACTTCATATTTCCATGCAAACAAATGTACCGCTTTGAGCACAGAAATACTGACATAATCAGACCACTAGGGAGGTTACAGGTGTTTGACCATTTAGTGATTGATCGCGGTGGGAGATGACCCTGTGTCCAGCCAGAGGGAGAGATCCATCCTGCCTGGGATCATCCGGTGATACATTATACTTTATGACTCCTTGAGGGTCACATTGTTGAGCTGATTGCGCACGCCAGATGGTGACGGACAGATTGGCACAAGTTTTTGAGCGCGCAAAATATATAAAGTTGAAGATGTGAAATCTAGTATTTGTATTTTTATTTGTTTATTTTTTATGTTATTTTTTAATTTTTATACCTGGGACCTGCGGTATATTATTTATTGTCACGGTGTATAATTTGGTCACTAATGATTTCATTTGTCACATTTATACGTTCACAATTTTTTATTTTCTTTTATTTGTTTGAATCCTGGTGCACTTTATATATATATTTGAAACTAAGTCGATTGATTAACATTTTTTATTGATCATATACAGTGTTACTCAGGGGCGGACTGACAACTCATGGGGCCCCAGGCAATAGGGGATCATGGGGCCCCTGTGTTCTTGCCCAAACTCAAAAAAGCCTATGAAAAAGGTACCAGGGGCATCTCATGGGGCCCCCTACTGACCTGGGCCCTCGGGCAGTGCCCGAGTTTCCAAATGGTCAGTCCGCCCCTGGTGTCACATCACTGTATCTGAGGACGTGCGTGGCACAAAAAGCCTTAGGAGGAGCCAACACGCCGTGACGTCATGCCG